TACCCTACCCACCACCAGCTTCTGTGAACAGTTCTTCAAATTAACTGTAATCACTGCTCGTTTTAGCTGAAATCCAGCACTGCCTGGTTAATGCTGGCGATGTGGGATGTGGAGTGTTTGAATGCTTTGAAAACAATTCTTGTGAGATCCGAGGCTTACACGAGATCTGCATGACATTCCTGCACAACGCTGGAAAATTTGATGCCCAGGTAACATGGTGAAATATCCTACATATCTGCTTGTTTCCCATATACACATGGAATGTATTTTAGTTCTTTAACACATCTTTAAGGAAATAAGTTACCATTATGGAGCAAATCTGCTTTTACACGTGACCAGCTTCAATAAAGATTTTTCAGTTGATGGGCCCAGAATCCAGACCCAAGAACAGTAACAGAGCAGTGGTGTGCAACCTGTCCCAGGAGACAGGCACTCTTAGCTACAGCTCCCTGTGATCACTTCCTCCTCCTGTACCCAGGATAACTAAATCGGAACACTAATGTAGCTGAACATGGTTTTCAGAGCACTAAGCAGCTTAAGCTTCTACACCATGTTTGTTCAAAGCTGATTCTGAAATGCAGCTTGGGCACTCAGTTCATTTAGTTGTATAGAAATATTTTCCAATGGGCAGTTATTAAAGTTGGTTCTCAAGATGTGCACACAACCAGTACAGGCAACCTCCTAAATCTGCTGTATTCAAATCAGTCTTTGGTTCGAGCAGTGGCGTTAAAATACATTACTTACATGGTATGCAGTATTAAGTTTGTCTCCTTCATTTTCTCCCCAGACCATTTATGCATCATTGAGACATCCTGTTATTATGTCTTTTAAACCTACTCTCCCGTTTCAGCATGGAGGGAAGAGAACATTATGATGGGCCAGCGGCATTTGGCTTGACCATGCAGTTTACAGTATAACTTGACTAGAAGCACCAGCCCATAGCACTGGTAAAAGCATGGTAGAAAGTAGAGCTGTCTTCAGGATTCAGTCTGTTCCACGAGGGGTGGTGGGACCACCCCAGTAGGAAACACTTTTGAAGTGCTGGAATTTTGTGCTCAAATTCTCAAGGATGTACAAAGGGTCTGGCTAGCCATTAAAATGGGAATTGTTTCTTCTGTGAGTATTCTGTGAGGGTGGTGAGACACTGGAACAGGTTGTCCAAATAACTTGTTGATGCCACCTCCCTGGAAGTGTTCAAGGCCAGGTTGGATGAGGCTTTGAGCAACCTGGTCTAGTGGAAGGTGTCCCTGCTAGTGGCAGGGGTTTTGGAACTAGATGATCTTTAAGGTCCCTTCCAACCCAAACCATTCCATGATTCTGTTTGAAAACCCTCAACTTAATTTCCAAATGGCTTCCATAAAACACTTATTTATTTTTGCACAATATTCTGTCAGTGAACAAAGTTGCCCAAAGAAGTAAGCTGTGTTGGGAGGGGAGGGAAGCGTGCCTACAAAAGCTGAGCATAGCTAATGATGCCTTTTCCCCAGGATCCCCAGATGCTGCTAATCCAGTACAGCCTATTTCACATCCAGGCTGTCTCCATTGCAGTGGAGAAGTATTAAAGCCCTGGAGCTTTATTTAATACAGAGGTGACTTTAGCCTCTGCTATGACATGGCTTTCGCAGCTCATCTCTGTATTATCTACAGTTATTTCAGGCTGCGTTAAATGACAAGACTAACGTTGGCCATTTTCTGTTCTCTGCCTTCTGCTCTCCTTGCCTCTCCCTGAAACCTGAGAACTGATATCAGGTTTGGTTTGCATATGAATCTTCTTTTTTATACTTATTTGCCTAATGTGATGTGCATGTTTGTCACTGAAGGGAAGGGCAAGTAAGTGCCTTTGGTAGAGGGAATAGAAAGGGATGATGACCAAAGCAGTTCTTTGATCAGCAAGAAACATTTCTGGCTTGAAACAATTTAGGGACAAAATCTGTTTGCAGGTCTGGGTGAATTTAGTTAATGTCAGTGAAGTTGTGCCAGTGTACACTTTGGATAAGGGTTAACAAAAATTTGATCTTCATGAAGCACTTATATAAAATAATCTGAAGCTAGTGAAGAGATGGAGGCCATGCAGGAGGCTTCCACGCACCTATTGCTCAGCAAAGTAAAGGGCAGTCTGAGCAGAGCCGTCAGACTGTGACACATGCATGGTGTATGGCAGCTGAAGTATCAGATAGCAAAGAGAGAAGGGGAGGGGGTGGTTCTGATGCCCACTAAGCAATTGAATGAAGGAATCACAAACAGTGGTTAAAGAGATGCTGCTAAAGCAGCTTTCCCACAACTTACTTTTTTAGTTTCTTAATTTCTTTTTTTTTTAATCTCATTTAGAATTTCTTGCAACAAACAGACATCAAGACACTGTAGGATTATTATTAGTGCTGATTTGAGTCCCTTTCTGAGGAAGTGGTAGTAGAGAAAATACTGACAGATGGGGAATGGGGCAGGTGCATACATGTCTAGGAGTTTGCAAACTAATTTTAAAATTAAAAAAACCCTTAATTTGCAGTTACTGAATGAGTATGTTCTTAGGGGCCTGGGGACCTCAGCCATGGCAGGATGCCCTCTTCTTTGTGTGAAGCTGCTGTACTGATACCCCAGAAGTTAACAAAGCCAGTAACTCAAGCATTGAATTATTTTAGGGTGCTTACTTTTGCCTTTTCCTCTGTTGGGATAGAGGAAACTTAAAAATACCAGTGAGGAAAAGCCCTGTGTGTTCAGTTCCACTGGAGTGGCAAGGCCAAGGTAACTTGGCATGATCTTTAAGGGCAGAGAAGCAAAGGGAAGAGAGGGGAAAAGCCATTAAGTGGTACCCTGAGCAATCTAATAACCCTTGACATTGTCCTACAGAGGAGCAGCATAAATCGGCTGCTGTGCTTAATGGACAAAAATACAGACCTACTCCATTTCTTTTCTTCTCAGGGAAAATCCTTCATTAAAGACGCTCTGAAGTGTAAGGCTCATGCCTTGAGGCATAAATTCAGCTGCATCAGCCGTAAGTGCCCTGCCATTAAAGAGATGGTGTTCCAGTTACAGCGGGAGTGCTACCTGAAGCATGACCTCTGCTCCGCTGCCAAGGAGAACGTCCAGGTCATTGTGGAGATGATTCACTTCAAAGACCTGCTGCAGCATGAGTAAGTGCAGTGAGAGGTGTGGGAGCTCCTTCCAGGAGCAGGATGGTGCCAGTGGGCTGTGCATCTGCCCAAGAGCTGTTTCACCTCCTGCTGGCCTTAAGCATGTCTTGTTTTCCCATGTACCAGACCAAAGTAATGCTTTCTTCACTGAGGTCCTTGAAGATGAGTTTGTTCACAAAGGGCTAGATATGGCTGTGGAAGGGAATGAAATGGGTTGAAGTTGGATCTAGCTGTCTCTTTGGTCCTTTAGCAAATGCAATGTCTGCTGATTCCAGAGGCATCTCACAATGTCTCTGTGCTTTCTGAGCTCAAAGGCACCATTCCTGACCCCAGTATCTTGTTAAAGATGACAGCTAGAGGAGAAGGTGGAAGAAGGTCTATGCAAAGTTGTCAGTAAGATGGCAGTTTCTTCTTTAAATACATACTTTCAAATGTCTGGTAGTTAATTGTCCCTGAAAGAGCTGCAGTCCCCCAGGTAATCTCCCATTCATCTTATTCCTTATTAATCTCAGATGCTTTTTAATAAAACATAGAGATGTACAAAATGAAGGCACAAGTCAGATTTTGAGGAGTTTATGCCTCTTACTGAGAACACAGCTGCCCTCCAAGGAACAGCAGGCACAAATCCCATTTGGAATTGATCAAAGCTGGTACATGACAGCAACAAACCAGGCACAAGCTGTTTGTACCAACTCTTTGTGCACAGATGCAAAAATCGGAGCCTGTTTTTCTTGCAGGTTAACATCTCACTCTCAAACAAGAAGGCTGAGCCACAGCTTGGCAGAAGGCTTACCTTAGAGCATTGTCCTACCACGCCTCTGTGCCTTCTTATCCTTAGTGGATATTAGCACAGAAACTCCAAATCCCAGCATTAGTGACAGATACTTTTTTTTTTTTTTTATGGAATTATTTCTTTTTTACTTTAGCCTTGCATTTTCATTAGTCTCCAAAGGAGCTGTACCCCAATTCCCTTGTTTTCTGTTGAAAACCACTCTGCTAATACTTAAGCTGCAGTTGCAGAGAGACACTTGGATGCCAGTTACTCTCAAATGCAGAATTGTTTGCTGTGGTTTTTATGAGCTGAACATGATGGCCTGAAAGCAAGGCCCTTTCTGTGAACGTCGCTGAGGCTGGGATGGATCAAAGGCATGGTTGGTGGGAGATCTTGGCCTTGCCAGGGCTGCTGGCTGTGCCCAGGGCGAAGGGCAGCATCCCACTGCCTGGGGGAGAGGGGAAGCGGGGTCTGTCCTGCACAGCAGCCCCTCGCTGTGGGCACTGCTCAGGCTGTGTTAGTAGGCTATAAATTTGGTACTTGGTACCAGTTAAAGCCCCTCCCACATCATTTGGAGATAAGAACTATGAAAGTCAAAGGCCTGTCCAAAGAGAAGTCAGTTATCCTTGTTTTACAAAGAGGCTAAGGC